TAGCAGGAATCAGTTTGAAATTCAGTGCTGTCTAATCGATACCAAGCACGGTGCTTTATTCCCTCTTCACTATGCCTCCAACTTGTGGAAAAGACTTTACCACCTTACCTTACCAAAAAAGTTGGTTTAATTACAAGGATTCCAGGAAGGTGGATGAGCCTGCAACATTTCTAAAACACCAAACTGAGCCTCTGGGTAGGGCGGGATAGAAATGCCAAAAATAAATAAATAAATAAAAATAAATTCTCTTCTAGGTGCATTGCTACTATTAAATATTATTACCTGGAACTAAACTATCGTTGTAAATCCACGGGGGCATCAGTTGCTGGATTGGGTCCTGTGAAGGAAATACACCAACACCTAAAGACACAGACAAAGAACCATCATTTAGGAAACACTTGCAGCCAATGACTTGTCTGGAGCACTTCCATCAAACCATTACAAAGATGGAATCAGATTGTCACAAGCAGTCCTGTCAGAGTGGCACATGTCTGGCTAAAAACTATGCATAAGGGAAGAGAGAACTGTATTCATTTGTCACAACACACCCGTCTGCTTGTGATGGGCAACTGCAAAGCTTGTTTGCCATGCTCATGGACTTTTCTCACGCTCCCGGTTCCCTTTGTTCACAAAGTATCACTCAGAACTCCACAGTTCGACCAAGTTCCGATTCATCATGAAGGATGAATGCCTGCACTCAGATGTCAAGACAGACTAAACTCTGACCAACGAGAAGGTTTTCAATCTTGCCTCATGAGTGAAGCAAGCAGTGAGGGAGTGTGCAAAAATGGCAAACAAGCTGTGTTCATACCCGTCACAGACTAATAGAGGTTTGTTCTGACACTGGAATACAGACTTCCATTTTCCATATAACAGACACATCAGGGCTTCCACCCGCACCGAGCTTCTAAGAAGAGTTGGCAGCACTGCTGGATTTTTATGAAAATAAATGCAGGTCAACCAAGTCAGCCATGTGGCTCATTATGTGGTTTATTAAATTGCTTCTAGTGAGAACTATGGCCTTCCTTGATCATACTGACATTTCTGTCTTCAAACATTCATTATCTAGAAATGTGCTGCCTGCAGAACACCCAGTACCTTCCTTCCCAGAGCCTCCAGACACATTCAGGCCACAATCTTCCCCTCCCATACTAAACTGCAGAGTTTTGCATTCCCCAGTGGTAGGAATCAAGTGAAACCAAATTAATTTCAGGAGAAAAGGCCTCAGAGGACAACAGCTCATTGGCCATCTCATGGATAAAATCAAGTACATCTGACTGTACTCCATATCTTGTTCGATTTTATTTTATAGCACATACTTGATAAGCAGATACTATCATTCGAACGTCACAGAATCCAACCAAAATAGTTTTTGTAAAAAGGAGGCTTAAATAACATGGTTACATGCATTCATTAAGGAGCCAGAGATCTTTCAGTTCCAGCAGAGTTCTTCAACAATTGTTAGATTAATTAGAAGAAAGGTCATCCAAACAGCAAGCCAGACAGAGCACAGAGAACTTAAGAACAAAACCTATCTGTGCACCAAACTCTCGGGCAAGTGCCCGACTAGAATTCTAAGCTGAATGATATTATTAATAAAGCATGCAGTGGTCTTCGATAACATTGCAAACTCTGAAGTCAACTATGAACACCAATGGCGCTCACCACATACTGTGATAATGAACTCAACAATTTGACTGCACACTGGGTTAAGTACTTCCTTTTGTCTACCCTAAATATCTCCCTATCAACTTAATGACAATACCACTTAGTATTTCTGTTGCGCTTTTTGAGTGTTTGAAGCATTATAAATACACAGAGTTGCAAAGCTTACAACAGCCCCATAAAGGAGGACAGTATTATTATCCCTACATTTCTGACAGGGGCCTGAAAGACTGGCTTGCCTAAGGCTAGCTAGTGAATGTCCCACAAAGGTGAAATTCGAACCAAGAACTTTCTTATTCAGAGTTTATTTATCTATTAGGTTTATACCCTGCCCTCCCTGCTTTACAGCAGTCTCAGGTGCTGAATGAAACCAGCTCTCTACTTCAGGGGTCTTGGAGGCAAAGGGCTTTCCCCCTCCCACAAGGTTAACAAGAAGAACAAGCATCAGAAGACGGCATGCACGACTGGAACAATGTTTTCGCTGAGGACTGGCTACCACAAGGACTGAATCATTTAAAAAGATGTGTTAGGCTTCAGGCTTATAAACACGGGGTATTAAAATCAGAGCAGTAGCTGCTTTGTGTTATGCGTGAGTAAAGAGAAGGGGCTCTTCACTGGGGTCATTATTCAAGCAGGGGTTCATAGCAAAGTCAAGCCGGCACTCGTGTTAAGAGGTTAGCACACGTCAGCTAACAGTATTTGAACAAACGCAATTTGCTCACCACGCTGTTCGACTGACAAGTTTTGGTCTGAAGCCTTGTTTGCTCCTCCTCCCGGGGCGCCATTTGCCAGCTCCCCGAAAGGCTTGCAGTTATTGGCTGTTAGCCTTTGGTCAGGACAGTGGATAGCTGCAGCACCCAGCTCAAATTCAGGCATTTTAAATTTGATTTGAGTCTCCCTGAATTCATTCAAACTGCGAGGGGGCAGAAGCTGCTCTTCTGTGGGATGGCCTAGACAAACAGAGGAGGAATTATTTGTATATGGCTCACCACCTTGATTTTGGAGCTTCTCCCCACTTTAGCTCCACTCTGCCTGGACAGGAAAAAGAAACTCCAGCTACCCAAGCAAGCATGCACAACCCACCCCCTCAGTACAATGTGAAGTTCCCATCTCCGAGGAAGAGGAGGAGATTGGATTTATTAGAGATTGGAGATTGGATTTATACCCCACCTTTCACTACCTGAAGCAGTCTCAGAGCCTGTGAGGTGGGTGGGGCTGAGAGAGCTCTTTCGAGAACAGCTCTGAAAAAACTTGTGACTGACCCAAGGTCACACCAGCAGCTGCTTGCAAAGGAGTGGGGAATCAAACCCCGTTCTCCCAGATTAGAGTCCATGGTCCTAACCATTACACCAAACTGGCTCTCAGAGTAGATGTAAGGAACATTACACATGTACTGGTCCTATATATGTGTATGCGTGTTTGTGCATGGTCATCGGTGAAGGAAGGTGCTGGAAAATGCTCTGCAGAAAATATTCCATTGTTTAAAATCATCATTTCGGGAAGTTAGTTACAACAGTGCAAATGGATCTAGTGCCAGTCAAAACTGGCAACTGAAAGCGTAACTCTGTTGAAGTAAAGATAACAAGGGATCTTACAGACCAACAAGATTTTGGGGGGTATAAGCTTTCAAGAGTCAAAGCTCTGGTCCATCTATAAAAAGGAGAAAATTAATAGGAATGTTGCTTACTGCAGCAAATATTCTTATAGCCAGATCTTGGAAAGAAAAAGCAATTCCTACGGTAGCACAATGGGTTCATAAAATCTAGGATTTGTTTATGTTAGACGTTTTTTCTGTTTATAAGGATTCTAACCATAATGAACAACTTTTTCGCAATCCGTTAAGTATTTGGTTTCCTTTAGTAGAAAAGATAGATTTAGAATGTTTTGGAGGCTATTAAAGCTGCCAAATATAAGCTCCTCCTATTTTGTTGAGGCTACAAAAGGATTTTGCTTAATAGACTGTATTTTCACAGAAGTTAATGGTTGTCAGTTTATCAAAATTGCTTATATATTTAAATAGTTTTGTAAATGATATGGTTGTTGTGCCCCTTTTTCTCCTACTGTCATATACGTTATGTCATTGCTGCTGCTATTTTAAAGTGTAACATTATACAATTAAATAAAAATTTAATTAAAAAAAAAGGTCAACGCTCCCTTTGGCAGATCCGAGAAGGATTTTAGGGCCCCTTAAAGGCTAACCAATCTAATGTGACATAACTTCTGGTGAACGCATGCTGGCGCTCAGGCGTCTTCAACATCCTGAGCAAGGAGCCCTGCACTGTGTGACTGAGGGTGTCCAGGCTGTGTATGAATTCCAGCAGCCAAAGCAGATGAACAGAGAAATTATGCACAGGTCTTTCTTCATGCAAGAATTACATTAACCATTTCCCACACCTTAATTGCTTTTGCTTTCAAATTTCAACTACGCAATGGAGGGAGGTGGACGCACAGGGGTCATTTAGTAGAAAAAGAGGTGCAGCTCATTTGCATAACTTATTTGCATATGCCACACCCCCTGACAAAGGGCAGGCATGCAAGGGGTACCTTGAGAAGATCAGGCAGGGAACCCAGGCATGTTTAAAATGCCTTTCTTCCCCTTCCCCAGATGGGGAAGGGAAAGAAAGGCATTTAAATCCCTGTATAGAAATATTGATTTCTACAAGTCTCATGCCTTCTCCTGTGAGGACATTCTATGTCTCTGTTTCCTGTGCAGGCCAAATGGTCCAGGGCAGACCAGATGGCCTGAACAACCTCAATAGCCATGCCATATAACCACACATTCTTTCATACCTCTAAGTGGAAGAGCTAGACTTCAAGGCGCCTGCTTTAAGGCTACATGGGCCATGTCACGTACATCATGGAGAAGCTGAAAGTTGGGTCACCTGACTGCAGGAGGAGTTCCCAAACTTCTAGCCTATCCCCACATGTAGCCATGACAAACAACAATTGGTCACACCCATGCCCACTCGCAATTGGCTAATAGTTGGGGTATAATTGTTTGGTTCCAATAATTGGGGTATAATTGTTTGATCCCAATGAGAGAGCTTGCTTGCTTTCTTGCTCTCTCCTCCTGTTCTTTCTGCTTGTTTTATTGCACCTGAAATGCAGCCCTTGAGGGACAAAGGACTGGCTTTGTGAATTGGACCATATGGTTGAGCAAAGATGGATTTTGCCTTCAAAATCCCTTGGACTGTTTGGATATTATTCCTGAACTTGGTTTGTTATGTTGGTAAACTCTGGTAGTCTGTGTTAAGCTCTGTACTGAATAAAAAATTATTCTTGTTTCTAAATGGTCTCTGATGTTGTACCTGAGTTCCAAGTCTAAACTTCTGTGCCCAAGCTGACCACAAGCTACCATTAAGCGTAAAGTGTGCAGCTCTGAGTAGAGTTGCTAATGTGTTAAGCCCTAGATGCCAGCTGAGAGTTTTGAATCTCTGCTCTGAGCTGGAGGGGACTCTAGTTAAAAGAGGTTCTGGTGGCACACTGTTCTGAAACCAGAGAGGGTTTAGACCATCTCGTGGGTTGTTGTTTAATGTACTGTAAAAGTACAGGGTTCCCTCCCATTCCTGGCCTGGCCTGGGTGGGTTAATACTGTACAATCCCCCCCCCCCACTTCCCTGAGTTTCTCTGCAAAAGCGGAGAGGCTCAGGGAAAAAAGGGGGCATGGCTGGCTGCCTGCCCTTCCCTTCCCTTCCCCAGCCAACCTGACGCCGCGGGCTGGCTGGGGAAGCAAAGGGCAGGCACGCAAGCATGCCTGGGTTCCCTACTCCTGGGCTTGCTGCTCCCGGAACGCCTTTCCAGCTTGTTCCCCCTCGAAATGACCTCTGTGTACGCAACTGAATGGACATGTCTTTTTATAATATTTGCAGGTTTTACAACAAAAAAATCTTTCAAGTGAGGTTTTGGATTTGTTTGATTGTAACTTTGGAGGGTGCTGTCCCAGAGAGAAATGAGAGTCTGGGAAAGCACCACTTGGAATGCATGGCCTGTTTTGCATTTTTTAAAAGACGCCTAGAGAATAAAGAGGGGAACGTTGGCTACCATGGCTCCTGAGCAAAGAGACAAAAGGGGAAGGTGAAATGGCGCCAGCGCCCCCCCCAATCCACCCCCTTACACCACTGCCTCACACAGCTGCATTATCAATCCTGTAAGCACAACTGAATGATTTTTTTCCTAATCAAATATTTCAGTTTATCTACTTTAGACTACTGAAATAAGATTCTATGATATTTATTTGGCAGGTAAAATGAATAGGGCATACTTTTTAAACACAGTCACTTTTAAATTACATACAGGTCACAGAAAACATGCTAAATCACATCCCAATCCATTTAGGGTCTTAGAAACATTTACAACTGAGCACTTCTGCTACTGCTACTGCTTGTGCTTGCTTTCTTGTCTTCTCATGGACACTCCCCTTCCTTCCCACCAGAGCACTACAGAGGCAAAGATCCTGAGCTCTTAACTGCTTTTTCGAGTCAGGGAGAAGGCCATAGGACTGCCGCTCTCCTGTCCCCACTGCAAAGCGCCCCCCCCTTCCCTTGCCAGTGGCTGGTCATTACATCAGAACCACAGACAACAGTTAATGTTACGTTCCCCATCATAGTCAGAGATTACTTCATTATTTATTTAGAGAATTTCTATGCTGCCTCTCTCTCTAGAACCTGCTTGAGGCGGCTCACCAGCCAATGAAAATGACAAGCCAACAAAAAAAAGTTCAATAAAACTAGCATTAAAACAAACAGAGCAGTCTAAAAAGATATTAATGAAAGCAGTACTCAGGCTCAGAGGAGAACACAAAATAGCTTTTAAAAATATAAGACCCCTTATTTAAAAGCCGGGACAAAGGGAAAGGTTTTGTCCTAGTGCTTGAAGACAGTAAAACAGGTGCTAGGTGAACTTCAAAGAGGAGGGCATTCCAAAGACAAGGTGCTACCGCTAAAAAGGCCCTGTTGCTAGCTGCCACATGCATCGCCGAAAGCAGGGATTGGGAGGAAAGGCAGATTTTAACAGGCAAGATGGAGGAGGATGGGAAGAGATGGTCCTCCAGGTACAGACTAAAAGCACCAACTAGCAAGCCTTGGTTAAGAGGAAACTCAGTGTGCATTAGCTATATGATGATGGTGCTGGTGTAACACTTAACCGTGGTTAGGGCTGACTGGAAAGTCAGCAGGGAACCATGGAGGGGACAGGGAGGGTTTGCAGTCCTTCATGCCTGCAAATGATCCCTTAATCCTGGTGAAGAGGTTCAGAATAATCCATCTGCACCTTCCCACAGTACCACCATTGCTCAATGCATGTCATCTTTGGAAGGTTTCAGATAGTCATTTGCACCACAGGAGGAGTGCGCATGCTTAAAGAATGTCACGTGGACAGCCAATCAACTACACCTCAAGATCCTTGCTCCAAGGCAGCATTCATGCCACATTGTCATTTGAAGCCACATTTTCACACCCTCCTGGTTCCATGTGCCTCCCCAGTATTGGGCTGATCACAAGAAATCTCCTCACATCCACCCAAATCAGCATTTTATTTCCTTTAAACCCCTTGCCTCTTGGGCTTCTGATTAGATGGAATTTCTCAAGCCCAGGGGGTTAAGATCGCATGATCAGGACTGACGTCTTTTGTTCCACCACCAAAGACATGGCAAGGTTACCTGTTTTCTGAGTGTTTTGTGAAGTTGCAGAAGCAGAGAAATAAGGACCCTGCCCAGTGGTACCATGCAGGATGGAGGACACTGGAATCTGGACTGGAGGGAGAGGCTGGGCCACAGCCTTCTTGGAAAGCCGCTGCCCGGCCTGGGAAGAAGGCTGGCAAGACTGAAAAGGCTGGGAAGAGGTTGGAGGCACGAGAGCCGGGGCTTCGACGGGCCCCTGCATAAAGTCACTAAACTCCTCGTCGTCAAGAAAGGCAGAGGTGTAGAAGACAGACATGGTGGAATGGGATGGTGTGGGATGATCTGCAAAATGGAACGAACAAACACACACACACACACAAATGGAAAACAGATGAGGAAGAGGGGAAAAAACACAAGTCTCTTTGCTAGGAAAAGTGAGAAGGGGGTCACGTCTATTGAAGGCAGAGCACATCTGCTACAGTACGACAACTTCTGGATCAGGGTGTTAGAACTGTGGTTGATTAGCACTTCTGTATGGAAGACCATTATCCCGGGTTGATTGTTGCGTGTGGCTTGGCCAACCACAAAAAAGACACTTGTAATGTTTCTGAATAACCCCCCCCCCAACTCAACAGTATATTTATTTAATTTAAAAACATTTGTATCCCACCTTTCCTTGTGGTTCATTTGTCCTGTGGTGTCTGACAGACAGGAGGAGGAGAACCACGTACGCAGCAGGCTGGCCCCCTTATTTATTTATTTAGCTACTTACTTCATTCATGCCCCACTTTCCTCCCCAGCGGGGAACCAAAGTGGCTTACAGCATTCTCCCCTTCTCCATTTCACCCTCCCAGAAACCGTGCCAGGGAGATTAGGTTGAGGATGTGTGACTGGCCCAAGGTCACCCAGCAAGCTTCCATGGTAGCGTGGGGATTTGAACCTGGGTCTCCCAGATATTGTCCAACACTCTAACCCCTGCGCAACGGTAGGCCTTTTGCACTGTTGAAGTGGTAACCCTGTTCTCCAGTTTAAATTTGTATAGCAGAGTAGACTGCTCTCTTGAACGGGTGTGAAAACTTAAAGGAGTGGCTTGCCTTGTCTGTTCCACCTCCACTGCACCTTAAGACAGACCCTACTTATGGTTGAAAGAATAACACAAGTTGATCAAAAACGGTGGGGCCTTCTTGGTGGCTGTGCTGCTACGGTACTGCTCCTGTTCCCCAGGGAGAACTAACCCTTTATCGTGTAGGAAGTATTGTAAAAAAAATCATGGCATTTCAACTGTTGAGTTTGAACTTATCTTTACTGATCACTGTTGAATATGCATTTAGAATTTTTGTGTTTACATTTGCTGTTTTAATCTGTTCATCATTTACTGTATAATTTTGTGGCATTTTATTGTTTGTGAGCTGCTGAAGCCTTCACGATCGCAGATGTTCAAAATAAATAAATTTCAAAAGGAAAAAATGCTGACAATACTGCATCATCCACAGAAGAGGCAACCCACTTCCCATTCAAAAATGAAAAGAAGGTTGCCTGTTCAGGAGGCTGTGGAAACCTCACACATATATTCATTGTAATCCTGGGCTTTGAGACCACCCAAAAGTGAATTGGGGATCACCAGTAGATTTTGGACCACAGCTTAAGGACCACTGTACTAGAAGATGAAACACAATCAAACAGTGCCTATGCAAGGTGAACACAGATACACATGTGGGTCTATAACAACAAAGTTTAGAATTTGCTATCAGTCTCTTAAAATCTTTAGATGTGCCAACTGATTTTTCATTACATTTATGTAACTGTGATCCAGCCACAGTAAAGAACAGGGAGATCTGGCAGAATAAATACATATCCATGTTTTTTTTCCTACTGTTAAACCACGTAATGCATCATATGTTTGATTTCAAGAGTTTTCTCCAAAATAAGAACAGGGAGATCTGGCAGAATAAATACTGTTAAACCACGTAATGCATCACATGTTTGATTTCAAGAGTTTTCTCCAAAACAGAATACCTGCATTTTTGGGATGAGACGTTGGCGTAGGGTGCAGTTTAGCATCCCTGGAAAACCCATCCAGGTTCCCTTTAATAGCTTCCAAGGCATCGTCTCTGCTTTTCTCACCCATCTGAAACACAAGCATGAAGAGACTTTGAAATGGCTTGAGCAGTATTCTAAATTCCTGTTGAAAATCTGGTGCGTGTTTCAAAAGCAGCTCTACCCAGTTCACAGATGTCCCAGCAGCCCAGTTGTGGCATTGCCTTCGAGAAGGAGCCAGACAAAGGATTCTGCTAGAGTTTACTGTAAATGCTTTGTGATACGTTTCCACTGATTTTAAGTTTTGTTAGCTGATTTGATTTTGTGGCCAAACAGAGGGATAGAGTTCAATTATTTCACAGAACTTTTAACAGGCAGCCACTGAAATAGTATTTGTAACATACCTTTGGTTTCACACTGCTCAAAAGCCTTAGCTTTTGTTTCTGCTCCTCAAACTGGCGCCTTTTCCTTTCCTCTTCCAGAAACTTTTGCTGGTGTTCAAATCTTTTCCTGCAATGACGCACAAGCCATTCTAATTAAAAACTCCATTTAGGTCCTATACAGACATAACACTCAATATCACTTGTTTTACACATTTCCATAGTCCAGGACCATCTGAATAGCTAAACGATGTTCCAGGACTGGATGCGAAAGCATGGTCTGAAGTGGGTTTGCAAATTATAATTAACCAACAGATGCACACCAAACAAACTGCAGCTGTGGCCGTTTCCCTGGCCTCTTTTCTTTTCAAGGTGACACGTAAGCTTTACTGGGGTCTCCCTGCACATACCTTCCAGGGCAGTGCTTGGCTCAGAAATCTTAAAGCCATGGTCTACCATGAAGCAGAAAGTAGACCAGGCCTCACACATAAAGTAGTAAGAAGGTAAAACAAACCGTAACACTTCAGACTGAAGATGAGAAACCATGCTTTTGAATGTAATGAGGTGGCAGAGTGAACTGTACCTCTTTCAGATTGCAAATAAGGGATTAGGTTTTTCAAAGTTCCCCTACATTATTGCCTATAAGCCAAAACTAACATAGCATGCAAATGGCTGCTAGTCTAGAACGTCTCTAAAATCCTAATTTCTTATTTGCAAGGAGTTTTACAGGAGAAAAGCATTAAAAATGTGACACTTCCCACACGTGGTCTGAAGCAATATTGTTCATTCTAAGGTAAAGGTAAAGGTTTCCCTTGCTCGAAAGCCAGTCGAATCCAACTCTAGGGATGCGGTGCTCATCTCTGTTTCCAAGCCAAAGAGCCAGCGCTGTCCAAAGACGTTTCTGTGGTCATGTGGCCGGCATGACTAGATGCCGAGGCACACGGAACACTGTTACCTTCCCACCGAAGTGGTACCTATTTATCTACTTGCAATTTCTTGCTTTTGAACTGCTAGGTTGACAGGAACATAAGAACATAAGGCCCAAAGGCCCATCCAGTCCAACACTCTGTGTCACACAGTGGCCAGAAATACCAGTGCCATCAGGAGGTCCACCAGTGGAGCCAGGACATTAGAAGCCCTCCCACTGTTGATCCCCCCAAGCACCAAGAAGACAGCATCACTTGCCCCAGAGCCCCTATCTATACCTTGTGGCTAAACTGCACACAGTATTCCAAATGAGGTCTCACCATTGATTTATATAGGGGCATTATTATATTGGCTGATCTGTTTTCAATACCCTTCCTAATAATCCCCAGCATAGCATTGGCCTTCTTTATTGCAGTCACACACTGTCTCGACATTTTCAGTGAGTTATCCACTACAACTCCAAGATCTCTCTCTTGCTCAGTCTCTGCCAGTTCAGACCCCATCAATGTGTATTTATATTTAGGATTTTTGGCTCCAATGTGCATCACCTTGCACTTGGCCACATTGAACCCCATTTGCCATGTTGACGCCCACTCGCCCATCCTTGACAGATCCCCTTGGAGTGCCTCACAATCCTCACTGGTTTTCACCACCCTGAACAACTTTGTATCATCCGCAAATTTAGCCACTTCACTGCTTACTCCCATCTCCAAATCATTAATGAACAAGTTAAAAAGCAGTGGACCAAGTACTGATCCCTGCGGTACCCCACTGCTTACCACCCTCCACTGAGAAAATTGCCCACCTACACTCACTCTCTGTTTTCTATGAACTAGCCAGTTTTTGATCCATAAAAGGACTTGTCCTTCTATCCCATGATTTTTGAGCTTACTTAGGAGCCTTTGATGAGGAACTTTATCAAAAGCTTTCTGGAAGTCAAGGTAAATAATATCTATTGGATCCCCCTTGTCCACATGTTTGTTCACCCCCTCAAAGAACACTAACAGGTTAGTGAGACAAGATCTTCCCTTACAGAAACCGTGCTGAGTCTGCCTCAATAGGTTTTGTTCATCTATGTGCCTACTAATTCTTTCCTTAATAATGGTTTCCACCAATTTACCCGGTATCGACGTCAGACTGACTGGCCTGTAATTTCCCGGATCTCCTCTGGAACCCTTTTTAAAGATGGGAGTGACATTAGCTACCTTCCAATCCTCAGGAATGGAGGCAGATTTTAAGGAAAGATTACATATCTTTGTCAGGAGATCTACAAGTTCACATTTGAGTTCTTTCAGAACTCTCGGATGTATGCCATCTGGGCCTGGTGATTTATCAGTTTTTAAGTTGTCTATCAGTTTTAGGACCTCCTCTCTCGTCACCTCAATCTGACTCAGGTCTTTCAACACCCCTCCTGAAATCAGTGGTTCTGGAGTGGGCAAGCACTTCTCATCTTCCACAGTGAAGACGGAGGCAAAAAATGCATTTAGCTTCTCAGCCATTTCCCTATCATCCTTCAATACTCCTTTTACCCCTTGGTCGTCCAAGGGCCCCACTGCCTCCCTGGCTGGTTTCCTGCTTCTAATGTATTTGAAGAAAGTTTTATTGTTGGTTTTTACGTTTTTTGCTATATGCTCCTCATATTCCCTTTTTGCCTGCCTGACCGCAGACTTGCATTTTATTTGCCATAGCCTGTGTTCCGTTTTATCAGCCTCACTGTGACTAGCTTTCCACTGCTTAAAGGAATCCTTTTTACCTGGGGCCAGAGACAGGAGCTCACTCCGTTATGCAGCACTCGGGTCTTGAACTGCTGAACTACTGACCTTCCAGTCTGCAGTTCATCATCTTAACCACTTGAGCCACCGCAGCCCTGTATTGTTCATTCTACCACCTCATGATTCTATTGCTGCATTCTGCTACACATGTAGACCAGACCAAAGCCAGGCCTAAATTTGGGGTTCTAGATCTCATTTAGCCAGTTACAAAGACCACGGCCACCGACACCAAGAAGGTTAAGAATGCTTGTGCCATAAGGCAGAGAGCGCATGATTCTATATAGCAACCCCTTGGTTAAATGCTTTGTCATCATAGGGGCTCTGATGGACAAACAATTCTTCTTGCCCCCACCCCGAACAGGAGAGCTAAGCACCACTTACTGCTGCTCTTCGACAAACTGCTTCCGCATATCAGGGGTGTACTGAGGAGCTGCTGGGCGCATTCCGAGGAAGGGAGCCTGCCCCATGTATGGCATCCCAGCTGTAGACATTGGACCCAAAGGCATGCCTCCCTGCAAACAGATTTGACGTTTCAACATAAAATTATCACTTTTTTAAAAAAGACACCAAGATATGGGCAATAGCTGGCCACTGCTTTGTAACTTATGGGACACTTAAGCCCAAGCACTGAACTTCCAGCAGCCTGAAAGGTTTCACGGTCTCTGTTTACAGGGGAACCTCAGCCCTCGAGGATAAACCCAGAAGCATTATGAACACTCATTCGTTTTTATCAACGGGCCACCAGATTGTTAAAAACGTGCTACGTGTGTGTGTCCCGCCCCATCTGGTGGAGCAGTACAAAACAGCTGCAAGAAACCTTCTGATTTAGAACCAGTGGCACCCTCCCGTTAAAATCTACCACACGAAACAAATCATGAGGGGCAAGAACCCATGGGAAAATACTTGGATGGTTTACCTGACGGAAGACTTCCCTATATCAAATGTGTGTTTAAATGTTACCCTATTTTAGTCAAGAGGATGGACACGGTCTACTGCAGTGGTTACCAACTTTTTGGGTGTGGTGACCTGAAAGCCCAAACTTACTCGGTATGGTGACCCAATTGTTTAGAAACAGAGCATACATGCAAATCACACTGTAAATGCCTGGGACCTATTTTCACAGGCTTCTCCACTCACTTCTGAGTTGGGACCCACAGGGTGGGAAGCCCTGGTCTCCTGCACAGGGACTTCCCATCCACCCTCCTAAGCTTCATTGTAGGTCTGTCCCTAACCCACAGACATTAGGAAAATTCCACAAACAAGTTGCATAGCGGTGGAGACCTGTAGCCAAACAGTATTTCTGAAAAGTCTCAGAGGGCAGATTTCCTCAGCTCATGGAACGGCAGTCTATAAGTCTGTTAATTCATGTCAGAATCCTAGCAAGGCAAGGAGAGCGTGTCTCACTTAGGTTTTCATCTGCTTGCCAAGATCGGTTTGAGTCGCTCTTTTCGATACAGACTAAAACCAAATGGCTTGGGGTCAACAGACACAAGCTTTACAGTCACAAACCTGCATGGTCATTGTTCCCGGAGGCATCTGAGAGCCGTAATTCACACCCATCATGCCTTGCAGGTTGGGCTGCATGACCGACATCATAGGGAAGCCTTGTTGTTGCATGGGAATCATGCCTGCACCAACACATTAAAGACCGGTTAGGATCCGTACTGGCTTTTCACTTGAATTAGAGCACTGGTACACTAA